CTGTGCAGTCATTTAGTACTTTAGTATTACCTACTATGCACGTACTAAATGATTGCACAGTGACTAGTGTTACTGTGCGGTACCGTTGCAGCATGTTTTTCTCCCAGTGCTACTGCGCAATAGCTCGTTACTCCTGTGCAGTACCATTGCTGCACAGTTAGTGCCCGGCAACACTACTGTGCTGTAGCAATGAGCGTTTCATGTAGCATTTCATGTAGACGCGCCCAAGGTCAGCTGAATTGGCACATTTCCTATTTTTTCCTGCATTCTCACAAATTATTATTCATGCAGCAGGCTTCCGTAGGTTCTTCTGATCTACAGCAAGAAAGGCTAAGGAATGTTTTTCCATTAAAAACCCTCTTTCCTTATGCTGTAGTTTATATGCAGTGGTTACATACTGTAGCTCCTCTGCACTGATTATAAGAAAGCAAGAGGCATAATGGTCTTTAGTAAAATGATAGACACTTCAGATATGGGATGGGTATCTTGTGTGAATTCTTGTCTCACTGAGGAATAAAAAGGTATTGGCTCATAGAAGAGTTAGCTCAGTATAAAACTTCTAGACCTTACTTCTCCAGCTGAACTACCTGTCTCCCATATCATATTCAAGACAAGACAGTGTGCTTTTCTATAAAGGCACACCCTGGACATGCATGAACTCCTGTGCCAGGAGGCAGCATCCTTTACTTCACTGGTGCTCTGCAAAGGCTCACCCACATAAGGTTCTTTGCAGGGTCAAGACCTATTTTTCTGAGCAGCCTTTAACATTCTGGATTACCAGAGATGGCACAAGTTACTCAATAAATCAAAAATACCACAATATACTGTTTGATCCCTGTGTATTAAGTGGAATGCAGTTGTAAAAATATCACAAGTACAAGGTAAACAGTGTTAACATGATAAATATTTTGTATTGCTACTACAACATTTGCTTGGCTGCTCAGGATATCCAGCTGTCAATAAACAACTTCCCTCTTGCAGCTAAAAGGTATTCTGTTTCTGAATGCATAGAACCAAAACTAGATTTTGCTGCTTCCTTTCCAGGAGACTGGTTCCTGCAACCAAGTCATCCAATTTGTGTTATAGTCCTCATGAACATTCATTTGGAAGAGCAACAATTTCTCAATCTTTTCAATAAACATCCTATGCATGTTTCTTCTCCTGTGGCTTTGCACTAAATAAAGAGGAAGTCTTGAAAGATTTTTTGAGTATTCCCTTGTATACTCTCAGTGGGAAACCTAGACACAGGAAACAATTCTCATACAAATAGCCAAGGGTATCCATATGATCCAATGCCAAGCAACCACATTCAAAGAGAATGACCAGGCCTAACCCAGACTTATAAGCGTCATGAAATTCTTTGCAAATAACCTAAAAATATTAGCCTTGGTTGTGGATCACTTCTTGCTAAAGTCCACATTGCTTTCCATCCCTACTGATTTTCTTTTTCCATTTTACGCCAATTCACAAGACAGAGCATAAACTTAACTCATCTGTATTACTTTAGAAAGCCATGTTGGTCATAGATTTCCACACAATTTCAGTTTCCTAAAACACTGATTATCTTCTGTACATATAGTAGTAGTATTTATCTAAAACCATAAATGCTTGCACTTTCCTTAGAGAATCTGTATTTATAAGCAAGAAAATATTTAAAATAGCACAGACATATTTTTTTTTCTTTTAAAACTCTTTAAAATTTTCCAAAGTAGCTTCTCTATAAAATATGTTGAAAAAGAAATTACATGAGGCATAGTATAAAGGGCTTTATTGGGACTTGCGTGCAAGTATTTTTCCTAGATCACTTGTGACTTCCCAACTGGTAATTAATACAGTCATTCCAGGTTCTTGCCAATAAAACCTTTATTCCACACTACCATGCGTTATCTCGATGTCCCTAATCATATTTTATTGGTGTATGTCACTGAGAAAAGATAAACATGGACTATATTTGAGATATATGTGGCAACACTTTAATATCATTTACCTTTGGAAATCTTGAGTTCTAATATAGACTTAGGAGTTGAAGTATCAATGTATTTTTGAGTTGACATTTGTCTGCCTCACCAAAAATTCAGGTAAGAATCAAGGTGCTTTATATAGGGGAGTTCAGGAGAAACTTGCTGAGTTCCTATCTATACTATCCCTTCTTTTAACCTCCCAAGCCCCCACAACCCAAACCCTTTCCACTTAAAGTGCAGAGGCCCAGGGTACTGCATAAACTGAATATTTTTAATCTAAAGAAAGCCACTGGGCTAAATTCTGTTCTCTTATACTCTAGTAATCCCACTTGGTGCAGTAGAGTTGCTTGGCTATAGCAGTCCCCTATATTTAGATTGCTAGAAAACATGGATTACTACCTCATAATGATGTATTCTTTGTGCATGTCTACATGAGACGCTTTACTCAAGATCAGAGCAAATTACTGTGCAGTAAGCATCACCAACTATGCTTGCAGATGCTTACTGTGCAGTCATTTGCTCCAATTGCAAGTAAATTTGCTGCTTGTAAATACAAGCAGCAAATTTACTCAGGAGTAATTACTGTGCAGTATGTCAAATGTAGATGACTGACTGGGAGTAAATGTGCTCCTGGTCAGCCAGACAGCAGGGAGCAGGAGATTGCTCCCTGCCCCCAGGAGCTTCCTGCTGCCAGGGCAGGCTCTGCCACTGGATCCTGCCTGGGGACAAGGTCCCCCTGCCCCAGCAGCAGGGTACTCCCAGCCCCTGCTCTGCAATCACAGAGCGGGGGTTGGGAGCTCCCTGCTGCCAGGGCAGGAGGATATTGTCACCACCTGGGCTCCTGCCAAGGGCCAGGCTCCTGGCAGGCAGCTCCCAGGGGCTGGGAGCAATCTGTCAGCCCCAGCCTAGAGCTCCCCCAGGCTGCTGCAGGGGGCTGGTGCGGGGCTATTTGGGGCAGGAGCAGACTGCTGCCACAAGCAGCAAATCTGTTCCTACTTCCCTGCATGTGTAGATGCCTGCCCAAGGTGGGTTACTCTAGAGTAAATGCTACAGTAAATGCCCTGCATGTAGCTAGCAGAGCTCTTGAACAATTCCCTACAGACAGAGCTGTCTACAGCAGCAAAAGCTCCAGGTACTAACAGAAGAAAACACTGTTCTGTAGGACATCGAGCACTGACCAACTACTATTAATTTTTTAGTTTCAGATTAAAACTCTTTAGTGCATTTCCAACTTTTTTCAAATGACCTAAGAAGCTCCGAATACCACTCTGGATAGTGCTTATCAACCTGTCATGTATGGTAGTGTTTGTTAACTTGCAACAAGAAAATGTTTATCTTCTTTCTACATTTGAAGCAAACAACAGAAATGAAAGTTCCTGTGAAAAGTAGCTGGCAAATGGCCTGCATGCTAAAGGGACTCTGGTTTACTGTTTTATTTTTTACTTCTATGGTTTTCTCTCCAGGATTCAGTCAGCAGTAATCATTCTTTTTTTTATTACTTCTAATGCTAAAAATGTGTATTCAATAGCTACTGCCTAGAGTACAAACAGTGCTCTAAAACAAAGAGAAGTACCGCAGTACTCAAAGTACTATTTGTTACTCATTATCCATATTATTGTAGCACTTAGATATTGTAGTAATTGACTAGAACTCCATAGTACAAGGAACTGTGTAAATACAAAACAAAAAGAAAATCCCTATCCCAGAGTAATGGTCCAAAACTCTTGTCTTACATTAGGAACACAACCGTGTTTTAGTCTGTTATGAAAGAATACAATAATATTTTCTTTTTCAGTGTCATGTGGGTAGGACAAGGAAGTTTGTATTCCTGTTTGGTGTCCTACAATTAAGTGGCGAACTTCTGATTTTCCAACTGTTGGGTCGTATGCAGTACATTAATTCAAAATATAAAAAACTCTAAACAGATGCCTAATTTGTTTTAGAGTCTAATCAAATGTTACCTTTAGGAACTGTACTGAGCATGTCACAGTAGTCTGCCTTCTTTCATAATTATGTTTATCATTTAATATTTATTGTTATAATTTAGTATTATTTTTATATGCGTTGTCAGTTTTTAGACGGTAACACTTCAGATTTGTTGTATACATGCTAGTTTGTTTCCTTTTTAAAAAGTCAGAGAAAAAAAATTCTTTTAAGACCATTAGTATTATGTTCAAACAATACCAACCTAATTGATTGTAGCAAAGCAAGAACAGACTAAGCTTGAATCTCCGCTGTTTTGCCTAGTTCCTCAGTATAAGTGGTTGCCTTCTGATCTCCAAACACTTTATGGTATCTTACTCCAAGACCTAATCTCATAGTTTTTAATCAGAAAACTCCTAGTGGTTGCAATGGAATTTTTTTCCTGGATATGAAGTACAGAATTAGAACTACATTCACAGTAGTGCTGTGTAATGAGCAAATGTCATGAAGTATCAGGCTTCAGGTTGAACCTGCCCATTTTTTGTTATACTGCTTCTCTTCTCCAATCCTTGCATCCTGTCCACATAATGTATTGTCTGCTGCCTAACCTTAGGTGCTTGTACAAGTGCTCGGGTGTGGGGGATGCACTTTAATTAGAGTGGTTCCTGGAAAGCACCAAAGTGTCATGTGTATTAAGGCCCCCTGCATTTAAAAATGGCCACGGAACGCTTTAACTAAAGTTCATTCGATGAGCATTAGTTAAAGAACCCCAGCAACCATTTTTGCATATGATCCTGTGGCAGTGCTCGCGCAGTCTAATTAGAATTTGAAGCAAACTCAATTAATTGAGTGTGCTCCGACACGTTCTAATTAAAACACGTTGGAGCACATGTATAGGCACGCCTAGCTGTGTTATGTCTCAGAGTACTGTGCTGTGGAAACAAGCTCTCTGAGAGCTTGGAAGCAGTATAACCATTTTTGTAGTCATCCACTTAGATTAATTAGCACAATTAATAATGTACAATGCAGTGCTGTGTAGATATATAGTAGTCTATAGATATTAGAATGTGTTCTGCTCTTGTACAAAGTCAATATCAAGCTCAATTTTCACTTCAATTGGAGCAGTATTTGGTCATTTTTTATGGTTCTTGGGGCAAGGATCTATAATAGTTACATGTTTATAAAACGCCATCCACATTATACCAACGTAAATTTCTTGTTTATGTAGCATAATCTTGATGCTAAAAGCATATCTGTGTATTATTCCTTTCTTCCACTTCATGTAGTTCTTAGACAGATTGCTTCTTCCCAGTCAGAACCCTGCTGAAGTCAAGAGTCTGTTTGTGCATTGCAATGCAGGATCAAGGCACTAGTCTGAAATACATAAGATATATTTTGAGGACTGGAAGACAATACTGCTCTTAGCATCTGTCTAGTTAGCTTGATTCACACTGGCATGCTGTTTTCAACTACTTATGGGTCCTTGTGCATAATGAATTACTATCAACAGCAAGAATTGGGGCTCTGTCAATTCGCAAACATTCCCCTTACGTGGTGGGCAGAACTTCAAGGATCATAAAATGGTCAAGATTCGGACTTCAGTAAATCTGTTATGTTACTTGGGGCCCTTAGTAAAGTCACATGCATATACCCAGTACAAAAGAAAAAAGGCACTGAAGCAATATTTTGCACCATTTTTGTAAGCATATAAAATAGAACACTGACACTGGTTTGCTAAACTGCACTTCAAAAATTTTAATTTTACAAGAAAACTGTAATTAAGATGGAAGTACTAGAGGGGCAATTGAAGAAAATAACCTGAAACAGAATTGCCTGCACTCATTTTGCAAAACTTTATTGTTATCATCTATATACCCAACAAAAGTAATACATATTTTCAGCATGAATTGATAGGAATAGATGGAATGAGGAGCCCTGCATTGTTTTAAAATGGACAGCTAAATAGCTCCATATTTTTTTAGCAACATGATGTCTCAGGGAGAACTGGAAACTGCAAAAGAGAAACACTAGTCTTACCCATTAAAATCATGATAAAATGGCATCACTTGAGTTTATCTAAAATAGAAATTAGTAGCTAGTACCATTCAGGTAATATTACTTAGTTTCCAGATTTTTATGCCATTTAAGGCAACACTTGTACTACTTGGTGGAATAATGTATTACAATAAGGTAATAACCTTAGACAGATATGTAAATATTTTTAAATATCATTCTTAAAAGTCTGTAGGACACCTATGCCTACTTTCCGCCAATAGTCACATAAATTATTTGTAATACATCTTTTTAAACAAGATACTATCAAAATTTATTATGCAGTCTTAGAGGCTTGCACATTCAAAGCACAAATACCAGTTGTGTTTTCAGTCATTGATAAGGGAATTATTACTGTTTGTTCTGTATAGGAATGTAAAATTAATTATTATTTCCTCTTAAAATCAGCACCACCACATACAAGTAATAACACTAAAATCCAATTAAATACATGTTCTATAACATTCATTGCAGTCACAATAAATTAAAATAAAACAGTTCTCCGTCTCACTTATTAACTGCCAAGCCAGTTAGGAGACTTCATAGATGATCAACACCTGCAGTGCATCCAGAAGCAAACTGCATGGGAGGAAGGGGAGGGAGGAACAGCTCAGAGCCTAGATGGCAAGTATGAAGTGGTCACTTCAGCCTGTTGGTCTAGTCAAGAGCTGAAAAAGAAATGATTAATTGTGGCCAGGTCAAAGTTAATCAAACTGATAAAACAATTTCTCTTAATGAGTTAAATGAAATTAAAATCATAACACGGCATCTTCCCATTGCCTGACATCCTCTCAGTGGGGAGTAGTGATATTTGAAAATGTGTTGGCAAAACCAAGCTCATTTATAGCATTAGGTAGAGGTCATATTGTACCTAAGTTGGACTAGACAGAAAACATGGTCCATTATTTATTCTTGGTTATTAAAAAGAGAGGAAGGTGGATTTATATTTATGGGGGCTGTGCCTAAACTACATGTGAATGAAAGGAGTAGAACTCAAAAGAAGTAGCACCATCTGTTACTGAGCAGATGGTAGAATTTTCCCTTTTGCCCAACCCAAACTTGGGTGTTATCAGGAGGCACGGCTATCAGGACATTGCAGCCGTGGCTCAGTCTTCTTTTTTGGCAGTCATGCATTCAAGATCTTGAAAGAGACACATTTGTTTTTTGGACTTTTTAGAATTTTCTGTTTATTTACTACACAATCTGCCAAAGTTAATAAAGGATCAGAGCAGGTCCAGGAAGGTGTGATGGGTAAGGGCAGATGGTGATTTGTCCTGTGCTGACCTGACTGACAAACAAGATGAAATTCTCCCTGAAATTACCTTGTGAGGGCAAGTAACTGCTCCACTTGTTTGGTACAAATGAAAAGGTTTTGCACTATCCTGTGATTGGTCAGGTTGGATTAATCCTTTAGTGGCCCTAGGCAAACTCATGGGTCCCTACTTTTTTCACTCAATAATTATAATATGTAAAATAAGCACAACTGGGCTCTTTCTTCACGTAGGGCCTTAGGCATGTGCCTAGTTTGCCTGTGCATTAATCTGGCCTTGGTGACCAGGACAGGGCAAACAGTGTCCAGACCTTGAGTCTAAACTCCTCAGTGTCATGCCTTCCAGTTCTAGCATGTGGAGCTGAACCTAACACTATTGTTTTTGGAGTGTCTGCTCTAGAAAAAGAAGGGGATCTATTTTGTTATTTGAGTCTAATTTAACAAAAATCTTACAAAAACAAAACCATTTTGGCACAATTTTGCAGAGATTTCATCAAGAGCAGCTGCTTTTATAACAGTTCTTAAGAGTTTGGGGCCTGTAAATCTCAATCTGAACTCTACCACAGATGCAACCTCTGACCCAAGTCACTGTCTGAAGCTACCCTGGACACAAAGAGTTGCCTCTTCTGCCAGCTCAAGTGTATAAACTATTTAGATATCAATATTGTGCTCATCATTGTGGTATCTGAATGCCTTAAACAGCAAAACTGTAGCTTTCTGTTTTCAAAAGAATATGTAATATACAGTTTGTCCTTGGAAAGATACAAGAAGGAAATTGCTGCCTATCATTTTAAGAGGCTTGCCTACAAAACTAGCAAAATACAAGCCATTAATGAATCACTGGGCGCATCTACATGAGATGCTATGGTGCAGTAGCATTGCCAGGCACTAATCGTGCAGCAATGCTACTGTGCAGTAGTAATGAGCTACTGAGCAGTAGCTTGTTGCTGCTGCACAGTAGTGTCGGGGAAAAAGTGTGGCGATGGTACTGTGCAGTAACACAAGTAACTGGTGTTACTGCACAGACATTTAGTACTTGCACAGACTCATTTAGTCACTTTAATACTGCACAGTCATTTAGTACTAAATGACTGCACAGTAATAACTGCATAGTCCACCGCACATGTAGATGTGGCCACTGTGAATAAGAATTCTGAGGAGCCATTAAAATGTCTAGTAATATTATATCTGTTGCAGTCTAACTAATGGGTAAAATATCAAATATTTTGATATAAATAATTCCCAGCACCATAAATAAAGCAATAATCCAAAATAACTTGTTCATTTAATTCATCTCATGGAATGATCTTAAGTTTTAGTTTAAGCACGAAGTGCAGATAACGTAGATCTTTAGTATGAATCACCCCGTGTTGGTAAACGTTTGATTCTGAAATTCACATACTTTTCCTTTAAATTATCTTTGTTAATTTATAGCAATTCCATATATTTCCTTAACTGTGTATATAAATGTTGCACATTGGTAGAGCTTCATCCATCTATAATTAAGGTTCTGTCAGCACTGCTATTCAAAAACTCTGTTTGCAGTTGTATATAGCATGACAGCAAAAATCCACTTCAGCCAGAATCTTGGCAGTGAATGTGTAAGGCTGGGGATGTGTTTATACACGTTTCAAATTTAAACAAAACAAAGCAAAACTTATTTAGACATATTTAATGTTTCAGTTTGGTCTGATTGATGAGTGTGGGAGTGACCCTTTATTAATGGAGTATTACTTTATTTAATGGAATAGAAGAAGACCCTGATTATAAGATGACCCCCTCCAATAATTAGATTCTATTTATGGAAAATTTATAAATTTGTTACAAATTTCCAGGTATAGATCCTAATTATTGGTTTGCCTTGTATTTGTCTCCCTCTCACTGCTGCAGCAGGTAAAATAAATCTGGGGGATCAGGTAGCTCTTTCCTCTACTTCCCTTTAACTTTTTCCCCTGGCAGCCCCTTCCCTGTCGCCTTACTGTCAGACCCTGCTCTCCCTGAGCACATGGAAGTGAGAAGCAAATTTGAAAACAACACACTTGAAATTAAACATGGCTGTAGCAATTTGCATACAGTAGCCATAGACTTAGTTCATCCAGAATTAGTGCATGTTACCTTTTCTTGAAACTGCTTTAACTTTTAGCACTGGTGTTTCATAAACACAATTTTGAGCAGCACTTTGGTACTTACATCTATCTAGTATAAACTTTTTTTTTAACCTGGCGAGGGAGATCCCATGATCAACAAGGACCTGGCAGGGAAGATCTCATGATTCTCTCAGCCAATCAAGTTTAGTTATAGGGTGAGGCCTGCCCCTTGCACTCTGGGCAGACTGACCACTGTAAAATTCCCCAAATGCAGGAAATTTGACTGCACACGATTGTGGTAATGGGGGGCTGAGTTCTTGCTTTTCCTGTGGCTTGCTCCTTGGTCTTTTGGTTAGGAGCAACCAGGACTAACAGGTATCCAAACCCCAAGGCCTCTGGGCTTGGGTCTTGCACATAGGATGCCTGCCATAAATTTGGGGAGTATCTGAAGCCCCAGACCAATGGGTATCAGAGGAAGGATACTCCCAGTGCTCAGTCAAAATTTGGCACTTAATTCGGAACTGATTTGGCCCTTGAAACAAAATCTTATATAAATATAAAGTATGTATAGTATTAGTCCAAAGCCAAAAGGCTCATGATTTACCACATAGTTCACTGGACTGGGCCTCACCAGACTCAATAACATTCCAAGCTATGGTGAGCTACAACACTTCATACAGTTCACCCAGAATCCCTGTTGCACCCTTTCTCAGTCTGGCACAAATTATTAGTGTGCCCCCAGCCTCCATGGTCACCCCACAGGTCAGCACTGCTCAGTATGTGTATATACTTCAGATGTCCCTGACAAAGGATCCATGTACTAATTAGCCCCCAGTCATGACTGGAACTGGGTGTTCTTGTCACAAGTCCTGCAATGCTCCAAAAGTTTATGTGCAGATGAGGAGCAGGGCAACCTAGTCTGGCTTCACCTTGTGGAGGTTGGGGCCATACTAATCACATGTGCCAGTCTGAGAGAGGGTGCAACAGAAGGATTCTGGATATGCAATGTTGTGGCTTACCATGATTTGAAAAGAATTAGTGGTGAGGGGGACTGCACTTAATGGGCACTACCATGCATCTTATGCAGATAGGTTGCACTAACCTATACTTGTGGTATGGTCCCATTAGAATTGAAGGCCTGATCAATGTTGTAAAGGAAGAGAAACAGATTGACACAGTATTGGGGTGTAAGGAGTGGAGGATGGGAGACCCAAAGCTCAAAACAATGGCAGAGACAGCAAGTAAGCATAAGGTGGAAAAAGAGTTGAAGAGCAGAAATGAAGGTCTGGAGAGAGAGAGTGGACAGAGGGATGGAAGGGGGTATGAAATAAGGTGATGGTGGGAACAACAGCAGAAGTAACAATGATGGCAGCAGTACCAGCAAAGAAGGAGGTGATGAGAGTGATGATGCCAGAGAGAACACAGGAGCAAAGAAGAGTAGGCAATAGAGTGGGAGCAGCAGGCAAAGGTATGTTGGGCAAAAGACAGAGGACAGTGGGAATGTGATGGAATTCCAGCGCACTGGGAGTGGCATGGTGGGAAGACACAGAAAACACAACAGATTGAAGAGAGGATCAGAGACTGCAAATAAGGCAGTATTAGTCAGCAATGGAACAAAGACAGTATCGGTGCTAAACAGATATGACTTTTTGGAAAAGGGAATGTTTGTATACTGGATATAGCGCTGGTGAACCTGACTAGCTTAACTGCTTTTCCAAGCAGAAAGCCTTGGCAAATCACTTACTGAAACAGAGATGGGTATGATTTTTTTTTAAAGAAATACACAGAGGAATGTGGGAGAGAGGAACTAAGAGGGATAAGGTTTATGGCAGGAGAAAAGACAAGGGAACAAGTGATTATAGTACAAATATATATAGATTTATTAGTGGAAGAAGACATAGAAAGATAGTTGGAATTGCATGTTCAAAGAGTAACGAGCGTGAAGAAAGTGAAGGACAAATATGGTATTTGGACGGGGTCATGGAGGGCATTAATAGTGTTACAAGCAAATCATAGAATCATAGAAGTAGGGTCGGAAGGGACCTTGTAGATCTTGAAGTCCGACCCCCTGCCTGGGCAGGAGAGAAACTGGGCTCGAGTGACCCCAGCCATGTAGGCATCAAGCCGCTTCTTAAAGACTACCAGGGTAGGAGCCAGCACCACTTCCCTTGGAAGTTGGTTCCAGATCCTAGCCACCCTAACTGTGAAGTAGTTCCTATGGATGTCTAATCTGAACCTACTCTCCAACAACTTGTGGCCATTATTTCTTGTTATCCCGGGGGGCGCTGGGGGAAACAAGGTCTCCCCCAAA